GGCCAACTCAGCAAAAGAGGGACCTAACGAAAGTGACATTCAACTACCTAATAGAGTTACTAATAGCCGTTAGATGAAATGGAAGATTAAAAGAGAAGAATTGCTATAAAGATGAAAAGAAGACACATCAAACCAACTTTTTGTCATTCATTCTTCTTTCACGTGTTCTTTCATTCTAGTTATAGGCTTTCTCTGTTATTGCACTCTTTACCAAATCTGAAGATTAAACTTGTAATTGATTTGTTGAGCTCGTGTTGATGTAATCGGATCTTGGAGAAGTTATTTTGTTTATGAAATTGTTGTTTCAGACATTTGTTTTGTTGTAATTCTCTGAGCTAACTCTCTTTTAGGACTAAGACGTGATGGAACTCTGATTGCTGAAATTCTACATGCTGAATTAGATCTTTGTGTAGTTGATTTGACTTGTTCATTGTGCATTATTTGTTGGTGCTAGTTGAGATATGGCCAATTTTGACTCGTTAATTAGGATTACTTAATTGGAAAATAGTTTAAATATGGAAAACTCAATGAATAATGGAATTAAGGCTAGGAATAGTTCTGATTTCATAACTCTATGACCTCTGTTTTGTAAGGTAGTGTGAATCAAGAAGATAAAAGAATATGGACTCTTAAATTCAGCTAAAATGTTATGCTGGAAAAGTGCGAACATGTTGCAAGAGGTTTCATGGTTGAATTAGCTGTTGTAACATGTTCAGTTAGTTTATAGGATTGAAGTGCTTTAAGAGGAAAATCATGTCTGGTCCATTTATATAATTGATCATCTCTTATATTTGTGTCATAATATTGTTAGTGTTACCATTGTTCAGTGTAAATCTCTATTTATCAGCTTATATCAATTCTCATTGTCTCTGTTAAAAGGAACCACAAACATTTCATATAAAAATAAGAAACCATAAAAATACGTTGTTGTTCTTAATTGTAAACATATTACATTTCTATAAATTATCCTTGTGGGAATGATATCCCTTCATTCATCATATATTACTTGTGATCGTGCACACTTGCACGTTAGTTCTTGGTTTAAATTGCAGACACACTTGAGAACCGAATAAGTTTTTGGCACCGTTGCCGGAGATCAATTTTTGTAGTGTATTTTTGTAAAAAATTTACTTGCAACAACATTGTGTTTTTATTTTCTTTTGCTTGTTTTTTAGCTGAAACCAGACTATTTGTTGACAGGTTGCCTTTCTAGTGCATGAACTGTTGGCACCTTTTGATCCGAAAATTGAGAGGATATTCCATAGAAGAAGAAGAAGAGAATAACAAGAAGCTAGAAGGAACACTGAGGCAACAACCATGGAAGGTGGTGGAGGATCAGAAAATAATATCAATGGAAATGACAATCCCAATAATCAGTTTGCTGGCATGGAGTCATACCAGGGATTGTGCAACCAGAAATTCAAGCACAAAATTTGAAGCTTAAACCGATTATGCTTCAGTTGTTGCAAACAGTAGGACAATACCATGGTTTGGCACAATAAGACCCTCATAAGCACCTTTAATGTTTCATGCAAATTTCAGATACATTCAAGGTTCATGGAATAACCCAAGATGCTTTGAGGATCAAGATCTTTCCTTTCTCTTTGAGTGGCAAATCTGAAGAAAAGATTGAAATACTTCCACCTCAATCAATAACTACATGGAAAGGATTAGGATAGGCTTTTCTAATGCAACCTACGAAAGTATGTCATTTGAGGGATAATATCATTGGTTATAGACAGTATGCAGATGAGTCTGTCCATGATGCTTGGACAAAGTACAAAAACATGATTAGAAAGTGTCCCACTTGTGGTTTACACATCCTAAACTTATTTCCAATATGTTTGCACCCATTACCCATACATGAAAAAAGAAAGCCATTCCCTTTGTTTTTCTTCTTAGTCTTGTAAAAAGTCAATCCTACGAACTAGTCCCAATACTCAGCATTGATATTTTGTTCAGAGAAAGAGAAATAATATATTCAACTTTTTTTCAAATCACCTTGACTGACCCAAGTACCTAAAAAGAAAAAAAAAATCCCTATAATGGACAAAAATCCCTAGCTTTCTCTCTTTACCCGCTAATAAATCCACACATTTTTTCTTTCTTTTCAAACCCTCGTCATCTACTTCCTTGTTTCCATCCGCGAATTCACCGAATCAACCCATCCCATTATTTTTTTTTGTGCACCATCCACACCATATTTGTTTGGATTTTTTCCCATTGCTTATCTCTTTTCTTTGTTTTACTTTACACCCACCAAATTGAGGTCTTCACCGAAGTGCCTCTCATCCAAGAATCCCTTTTTGCATTACCCAAACTCATTTCCCCGTACCAACAAAACCCTTTAGGCTATATACACACCACATGTCCATTTCTCCCTTTCTCACCTAAAGTACAGTGGACCATCTCAAGTTATAGTTGGTTACAGAATATATTTTGAGAGCCACATTATTTTACTGGTTTTCCTATTTCTATGATTCATATTAAAGCATGTACATAGTATAGAAGTCCCACATTGTGTATATGTGTGTGTATTTCTTACTTAGTTTAATATATAAATGAAATCTCCTTCGTGTAGTTGACACAAGGATTACAATGTATACCTCTTGTCTCTTGGTAATTAACATGGTATCTAGAGCCTAACAAGAGGAATCTTAATCCGCGTTTTTTTCCGGTGGACCACTGTCTGCTGAGTAAAATATTTTTTTTTCTGGAAACAGTCATATCTGTCAGTTTCCGGCTTCCATATATTGTCTACGGACCTGTCTGATCACTGCCGCCATTAGGCACCACTGTCCACCGCCGTCCACCGCCGTCTCCGACGACTTTTCCGGCAATTTTTCCGGTGAAACCCTTATCGATCTGATCGCCACGAGAAGGCGCTCATTTCTGTCCAGGACCCATCCTCAGATCCTCCTACACGCGCTCTCACGCGCGTCAAACAGCGCCTGCAACCCGTTTTGTTACAGCGGCGCGGGTGGTGTATACCATGTTCTCTGAATTTTAGAGTGTGCCTTGATGACTCTCAACATGAAAAGGGCCTTCATTTAATAAACTCAAACCTAAGCCTGACCACAATCATTTTCCCTTGCACACCCCTTTGAGCCTAGCCTATTTCAGTTCTTTATAGCTGATAACTCTCCAAAAGAGAGTTATTTTAGGCTTAAATGTGATGTTTTGGGTACTATGATTGCATGTTATTCTCTTGATTTTATATGATTAATGCATTAATTCTGTGATTTCATGGTTTAATGGAGAATTATGTTAATTATGAGAATTTGGGCATAAATTGGGGTTTTAAAAACATTTAAATGCACTTGTTATTTTACTGCAGGTCGATGCTTTAGCATCAGGAAGCAGTGTTGTAGCAATGGAGATGAGGTCAGCAGTACATACTGTTGACATCAGCACCAGTAAACCATGGATCCAAGCCCAATTTTGTTGATGAAGCTTCTGAACATGTACAAAAAGATCTGATTGGAAGACGCGCTCAAACATCATCAAGAAATCACAAGATTATCTTCATCAAATCAATGATTACAGATCGGATTCAAATCCGAATTGTAAATATGGAAAGAATCCTGTGAGATATGCCATAGCACATGCTGTCAGCTTGACAGCAAAACAGAGTGCCAATCTCAATCAATCACAAGGCAGCTTTGAGTGATGATTTGCACGGACTGGAAGAGATAATTGAAGCCCAGAATGTCAGAGCTATAAAGGAACGAACTCTACACAAAGAACGCACGGCTGATATGTTTTGAGACACCCAATTGGAGGCAGATTTAGAGAGAGAAAGTGGAGGAAACACTTGGGAGGAATTTGAGGGTTCGTTGGGAGAAATCTCGCGGATCAAAGGAGGAAGCTGAAGTTCAATTGAGAGATCATTGAACCCAGCAACTTGCTGCATTATTCTGGCGACTGAGGCAAGGTTGATGGTGGTGGAGCTCATGGTTGCTGCGATAGCTGTGCTACAACATCGTCCCTGTTTTCTTTACTTTGGATCTATGGAGTCTTATTCTTCCCTTGTTGTTTCTGTTCACCTAATTATGGGCTAATTTGTTAGGATTGGGTGATAGAGTACCCTTATTGTGATGCAAACAGTATTGCCTAAACTTTGCTACATGATTTTCCTCTCAGTTGCTTAATAAAGTGTTATATTTTCTTAATCTTGTTGATTCATCGAGAGAGGATTGCAAGGTAATTAGGATTTATGCTATAGAGATATAGGTAATTCTTGAATGTTATTAAGCATTGTGGTTTAACTAAGTAAAATTAGTTAATTGTGGGTAGATAGATCATTCACACCACAAAATCGTATGGAACTTGAACTTAATGATTTATAACTATGTTGGCCATAGAGATGTGGGACTTAGTATACATGTATTGTTGGTGAGAGCCCTTGCATGCATTGGTGTTCTGATTGCTGTTTGGATAATTGTTGTAGCATGGTTACTGCATTCTGGTGACATTACAATAGTGGGGAAATTGATCCCAATCTGTCTTGATACATTTGAAACACTTCTTTTGATATTGAATTTTTGCTGAGTTAATCAGTAGCCTTAGTTTACGTTGCTTTACTTTTTAAGTGTTAAATTAGTCTTTAGTTTTTCAACAAATCATTTTTGTTACCTTGATTGCTTCACAAAAGCTATAGCATTATATAATCTCTGTGGGAACGATATCTGGACTCACACATCTACTCTATTACTTGTTGATACGTGCACTTGCGTTTTTGTGTGATTTAATTGATTACGAAATTGCACAACAAGTTTTTGGCGCTGTTGTCGGGGATTATTATAAAGCTATTTTCTTTTTGTGAAGTGATATTTAAAATCCTATCTTCTGTCTGTCCCATCAGGTACCTCAGCTACTTTATGAACAGACCTCCTAATCAAGCAGAAGCTGCATTTGATCCAGAGATTGAAAGAACCTTTCGAGCAAGAAGAAGGAGGCAGTGACAGAATAGAGCTGTAGCAATACCTAAAACTGCAGACATGGAAGTAGAAGGATCTGTGAATGGGGATGGACGAGATGAGACACCGATCAGATCACATGGAGTCCCCACACTCAACAATCTCCATTCGGGGATTGTGCAACTTGAGGTTGCAGCAGCAAACTTTAAGCTGAAACCCGTGATGTTCAGCATGCTGCAGACAATTGGCCAGTACAATGGAATGCCAAGTGAAGATCCACATCTGCACTTGAAAAATTTCATGGACATGGCAAATAGCTTCAAAATCCAAGGAGTCACAACTGATGCAATTAAGTTGAAGCTATTTCCTTATTCATTAGCCAACAAGGCTAAGACTTGGTTGAGCACTCTAGCCCCTAATTCAATCAGAAGATGGGAAGATTTGGCTGAAAAGTTTTTAGTCAAATTCTTCCCTCCAGTTAAGGCAGCTCAACTAAGGAGTGGGATAACATCATTCCAGCAGAGAGAAGGAGAGTCATTATATGAAAGCTGGGATAGGTTCAAAGAATTGCTACGGAAATGTCCCAACCATGGCATACCCGAATGGCTTCAAATGGAAACCTTCTATAATGGGCTGAATAAGAAAACCCGTGGCATAGTGGATGCATCATCTGGAGGATCTCTCTTGGATAAGACCTTTACAGAGGCCTATGAAATTCTGGAGAGGATGGCAAATAACAACTATAAATGGCCATCTGAGAGGACAATTGCACAGCAGAAGGCTTCAGGAGTGCTTAAGCTGGATGCTATATCATCACTATTAGCACACATTTCCTCTTTGACTAATACCCTCAAAAATTTGAATCTGAGCACTGATGCTAAAGCACAGCCACAACAAGCACATGCTATTTCTAATACTTCTAATGCTGTAACATGTGTTTTCTGTACTGGTCCCCATATTTATGATGATTGCCCTCAAAATCCTCAATCAGTGTCCTTTGTAGGAAATTACAACAGGAACAATCAATATTCAAATTCCTATAATCAAGGATGGAGGAACAACAACAACTTGCTTTACTCTCAAGGGAAACAACAAGGATCAAACTATGCTCCAGCACAGCAGATGCCAAGGCCACCATTTCAGCAGCAGCAACAACAACAACAATACCAACAAACTAGACAACAATTTGACAACTCTAGTTCGTTGGAAAATATGCTGAAAGACTTCATGGCAAGGAATGATGCTACTATTCAGAGTCAATCAGCATCAATAAAGAACTTGGAGAATCAAGTAGGGTAGTTAACTGATGCCATGAGGAGCAGACCTGTAGGCACACTACCTAGCAACACTGAAAATCCAAGGAGAGAAGGAAAAGAGCATATCAAGGCTATATCATTAAGGAGTGGAAAGGCTGTAGATGAACCAGACCATATTAAAGACTACCACAAGATGAAGGAGTCAGAAGGACAGAACGAAGGAGAGCAGGGTGCTGTGGAAGAAGAAATTGGAGAGCAACAGGTTGACAAACAGACCAAAAGTCCAGCACAAAATGCTGCAGCAAGAGAGCAGCATAGTCAGCATGCTGACAAAGCAAGTAGACCACCACCTCCTTTTCCTTAGAGGCTTCATAAGCAGCAAGATGACAAGCAATTCAAAAGGTTCATGGACGTGCTGAAGCAATTGCATATCAATGTTCCATTGGTAAAGGCTCTTGAACAGATGTCTATCTATGCAAAGTTCATGAAAGACATCTTGTCAAGAAAAAGAGGAGTCAAGGAATATGAGACAGTAGCTCTCACTCAAGAAAGTAACAGGTTCTTGAACAAGTTACCACCTAAATTGAAGGATCCAGGAATTTTCACAATCCCTTGCTCAATTGGTAACACCTATGTTGGGCAGGCACTATGTGATCTTGGTGCATCCATCAATCTTATGCCCAAGAGTATTTTCACCAAATTGGGAATTGGAGAAGCACGTCCAACCACTGTCACCCTACAACTTGCTGACAGATCCATCACTTACCTTGAAGGAGAAATTGAAAATGTGTTGGTAAGAGTGGATAAATTTATATTTCCTGCTGACTTCATTGTTCTTGATTTTGAAGAATATAGGGAGGTACCTTTGCTTTTAGGTAGACCATTCCTAGCTACTGGAAGAACTCTTATTGATGTTGAAAAAGGAGCTCTGACTATGAGAGTCAATAATGAGCATATAACTTTCAATGTGTTAAATGCCTTGAAGTATCCAAGTCAAACGGAGGAGTGTGCTGCAATAGAAGATGCTGATGAAGAGCTACTATAGCAATAGTAGACAGAAACTGAGAAGGAGCCCTTGGAAGTAGCTATAGCAGAAGAAGGTGCAATTGATGAAGAGGAGGTAGAAGCATGTCTAGCTTGGACTGATGCCCAACCAGTGATGCCATTCAGAGAAAGACACTTTGAATCTCTGAACTTTCCAGAAAGAAAGACTCAACCACCAAAGCCTTCAGTTGAGGAAGCACCAGTGCTG